TAACAGATGTATAGGCTGGAGGTGCGGGTAGTATGCGTGTGACCGAGTCCGAGTCCTACAAAGAGTTGGAAGTGTGGTTCATAAATTAAATGGCTAAGATTAAGTTAAAATTGATGTTATGCCCCTGTAGACTCATCAACGAAGTGACTTGATGGGAATAGATGCGACTGTTGGGCGAGATTACAAGCACATCTCAGTCTTGAGTACGTCACGGTGTGGTCTCTCGGGAGCGTGCACGTGAGACGAGACGAGACGGGTCATTGTTGTTGCAAATAGTCAACTTGTGCGTGTATCTCAATTTTTTAATGTTTAGTTAAATAAGGTCGTTCATTCATTGGTCATACAAAGCATGAGTTTAGACGACGGTAGGATCTGTACAACACCGCTGTCAAATCCTAATGCCAAATGATCCTCTCGAGCTGAAGCGCCAGTTTGAGTTCAATTCGGATTCGTGTCATAACAGAGACTACATATCGAGGTGCGTCAATTAACTGGATTTAGTCATTGCAAAAGTGACTATTCCTCACCATTTTTTACGATGTAGATTAACACTGAAGCTGTTGGGACTGCGGGTGTTGGGTTATCCTAATGCCTTGTTGTAACTATTTATACTGCAACCAGTATGACCCTCACATACCACACAATATATTCTTGCCGTCGCAAGTGGCGAAACAATCCGTTATTTGTCGTTCGAGATGCGTGTCTTGAATCCGGTTGTTCAAGAAATTAAATACCATGGCATTATGTACCAAATGAATGATTCAAGAATGGCAATCCCAATATTGCAATGTTATTCGAGCTGCCACCGTGCTCATGTTGAATGTTGCACATCTCCTTTTGCCTTTGTATGGCCCATGTAGTTGATTTTCGACCTGGACCATTTGTACTAAGAGAAACCCGAAGCAGCTTTTATAACCAAGTGGATGTTTATAAAGACGTCGATTAAACTCAGGTATACATTCCGAGAATCATGGAATCTGATACCGAATCACAACGTGGCCCGTGCGTGGTAATACTGAGAAGTAGACGCCCAACGCATTATCACCCTCAACTCGCTGGGGTGGGGTAGAACTCAACCACAACAACCACATTAAGACAATCTTGCGAAATTTTTCCTCGAACCTTCATTGTATACACATCACTCACACAAGTCTTGCACCATGTCGAAGAAGGATCAATATCATCACTTCATACCCCGTTTCATTCTGCGGGAATTTCAATCTGGAACCAAAAAGTGCGTAGGAATTCAGGATATCTGTTCTGTTCTCGTATTAATATGGGAATTAGGTCCAAACAAGAGCGTCAGGAGGAATTTAGGAAAACGGGAGTTGTCAACGAGCGAGTCTACTTCTATGATGTTAAGAACCGCTCTCTCGAAAATCGTCTCATCGGTACCGTGTATGGGGAAACCAACCTCTATCGAGACGTTACCAACATCGAACAGGTGGACGAGGTTGAGGAGAAGTTCTCTAAACTGGAAAGTCACTGTGCCAGGCTTATTCAGGATCTCCACAAGCGCCTTGATGGTTCAGCTACCGAGCAACGCATCTATCCCATCATGAGAAAGGATCTCGACCAGCTTCGCAAATTCCTCTTCCTTATGCACTTCAGAAATGCCGGATTACGGGACAGCTACTTTGATCCAGAGCATCCTGACCACCGTGGTGTGCGAGATGTTCTGGAGAAACGCTGGGCACAGGCCCCTGGAGCAAAGTCTGCCAAAGACGTGTGGCTGCATGCTGTAAAGTATTACCTCGACGCCAGTCACTCACAAATACTCCGACAATTCGCGGAGAAGGCTCCAAAAAACGCAGACCCCATGTCCATGGCGGCCGCTTTGAACCCACATACCCTAGAAAATGTCGGGTTAATGGACGCCATCACATATCAACAGCAGGCTGGCATGTACTATCTGTCCTTTGTTCAAGCTGCGCCAGGGCACGAGTTCGTTCTGGGAAATAACTCCTTCGGACTATGGGAAGGAGTCTTGGGAATGCTCGCTCACGGATTACACAGACTTTATGTCGTCAGCCCGAGAATTGCTCTAATTCTCCGATTTAACGGATGCTCCAGCGACTTTCGCACCCCCGAGTTTCTAAAATTGATCGACAGTGATATAATCTCCATTGAACTACCCAGACCTTCATGCACGTTTGCATTCACCAGTTCGGGAGATACTGTTTTCTCTATGGCCGAGTACAGAGCGTCTCCCGCAGCTGAGCAAGATCTTTTCACCTTCCCAATCACCAAGCTTTCAGCGGCGCAGACCTCCCTCATCAATAATGTAGTCCTACATCACATCCCCTTATTAACCGGATCTCTCACCTTTAAGGATCCATCCTGCATGCAGATTACACTGCGACAATACTGGAGGCTGTGTGATATCCCTATCAACCGCTTAACGCGCCTCAAGTATTTACCACTTATCCAGGCCATAGATTTGCCTATTCATGGTCAGCCCGATGACTTCAATGTTCCACTTGATCGGGTCTTTGTACCAACAATAACAGGTGGTGAATCTGTGATGACGACACTCGGGGTCCTGAAAAAAGCAGCAGCAAGAAGAAAGAGGAAGGGGAAAGGGAAGGAGGAAGCAAGTAAGTCGCTTTTGAGTATATAGAGGTCAACATGGACTAACTGGCTTGTAAATCAAGGCACCGCAACTCCAGACTTGGAGAAAACGCCTGCTGAATTACCAGCAGACCGTCTAAGCATTTTGGCGACGAAACGTATATATGGTAATCTTCCGGATATCCGTGAACGATATGAAGACAGCTTAGAGGCTTGGGGCCTAATGCACCATGATGACCCATCGGAAAGGGCCCGCTCTCACCCTTTGAAAGAACTGTTTCATTTATCTGCTAAGCGCTTCAAGGAGCTTGCTGAACCCTTCCTGTACATACCATGCCCTCCAGGATTCGCTCCCGCACCCAACTCCCATCTTAAACCTAGTGTCGCTATTGCTTTTGATGCGACTATCAAGGCGATTTTCAATGGCGGAGGCAAATGGTTCGACAAATGGGAAGGCAAATTCGGCTTGCACATCGGTGATGAGGCCCAAATTGCGCATGTCCTTGGAATGTGTAACATGACACATCTTCTTCGCGATTTATTGATCCTTGAAGTAGTGACCTGGCTTGCACGTAACCGCCATGATATCTTGCAACGGACCGTCATTCCCAACCTCGGTCTTTCACTTTATCTCATGTCTACTGCCAATGCCTCTGCAGGAAGTACAGGTAAGCACCGATCATGATTCATATCAAAGGTATAGTTCTAAGCTTCTAATATGTACACATTGTAGTCTCCGCAGGGGCTCCATCATCCGCCGCACATTTACTTGTCACCGAACCCAACCATACGACCACGACATCAACACCGACAAACGATACAACTCCAAGTCAAAGCTCGACACCAGTAGATAAGACTAACTGCACCGAGCCCCTCGCGACAGGCAGCCCTAAAAAAAGAATGAACAGAAGAATCAAACCAAGCACGCAACAGTGGTTGTTGCGGACCCGGGCCATGAAGAAGCATCTGCCAGTGGTGCCAACGTTGATCCCATTGTCAATCGTAGAGCAACCGGAAAACCTAGTGGCAGTAACGGTGAGTTCTTGGTCATATCGTATGCTGCATCCTTTAAATCCTTATCATCATAATCCCACAGCTCAATCTGAATCCACTCCCTACGTCCACCAAACCACTGCTGAAACCCCATCGACATCTGTACGCACAACCGCTGCGAGTGTCGACTCAGAGGACACACCTGCTGAGGAGTTTTTCATTAAACTTTGTCTGGTGTACGGGGATCCAGACAGAGCACCCACGGACGCGCGAACGCGGTACAGGCACGCCTTTGCCATTAGAGAAGCGTGTCTGTCACCCCATGCATCGGAGATTCTGCGCGATGATCATCTGGGCCCCGTGCAGAAGTTCCTGCGGCTATCGGAGGAAGCGTCAAGGCGATATTTCAGCACATTAAAACAGGTGGATAAAGGTTTGGGTGCGATATCACCACGCAGGATGAAGGATGGGACAGAGATTGCCAGTGATGACGTTCCATTGGGGAATATCTTGTTCTTTTTTATCTTATCGGAGAAACTTTTGGGTCAAATGGGAGTAAATTGCGCAATGCTGAGCAGTCTGGGATACAGAGTCCCCGCAGTGCCTTCCCTGACGGGGACGAGGATCGCTGGAGGTTTTTCGCTTGCTACTCACAAGGGTTTAACATCTTGCTTCTTGACATGCTGGCGATCGACCTGTTTTCGAGGATTTCGAGGCTTCGTCCTGATGCGCTAGCCATCTTTCTTAAGAGCACAGAACGCAGTGGAGTTTGCATTTCTGAACTATTTGTGTAGTTGTTGTTGTACATGTACATATGTGATATTCAATATATCTGAGAATACTTAGGTCGAGGTCAAGGAAAGAGTCAAAAGTTCACATCTGAAGATGAAACAGGATGCAAGGCCCACTTATTTGAGGATAAAAAATGCGCGCTGGAATTCAGAGCCCTTTCACTCAGCTGGTCTTGTAATTTATAACCCTCCCTTCTACAGGCTCTCTTATCTTCATTTGCTTTTATGTATCTTTCCTACTACTCATTTCCTCTTCTTTATCCCTCTTGTTAGATTTCTGGGTTCTGGGTAGTTATAATTTCTTTTGTTTTATTCTCGTGCGGGCGTCGCAATGCCAAGCGCTGCTCCGCTGATTTTCACTTCTTTTATTTCTTATATTTTTCCGTTCATATTCTAGAATTACTGCGTGTGCTGATTAGCAACATATATAAGTAAATAATTTTCGTGTTATTTAGTTATTCGTTTGTCTCTCTCTCGTCCCTCGTGTTCTTCTTCGACGGGCACGCGAATTTTCTATCGATCATTTTAACACCTTGTAGCGGTCTTCTCCCTCCTTTCTTATAGCATGCACATAACTCCTAGAATATTAAGCGCTCGATATCGGATCCAACGATTCTCCAAATCCGCCCACTCTCACCACGGAACTCGAATATCGTGTAACGGCTAACATTGCCGCCTCTCATCGTAATGAAATATTGTTTCTATATATGTGATCGCGGCAGCTCGGGGTTCGATTCCCCGTATCCGAATGCAAATCATGCTCGATATTGTTTCTTTTCGTTTTCGTTTTATTTATTTTTCTGGTAGTATAGACATCTTATTTCCACGTATCTACAGAGTTGCAATTATTGTTTATGATTTATGAATAGTGGTCATGTGCACGAGTGATTACTTACATGTTAAATTGATTGCGCATAGCGTGTGTGTGCCTATCATATGGCTTTGAGCCTGGGCGTTGAGAGGTGAGCACCTACTTTCCTGTGATGAGGCCATGCGCGTAACTTGAAGTGCTGGGAGTGTCCGTTTGAATTGCCATTCGATCGAGTACAATCATATCAGAAACCTTTGATTTGTCTTGTGGTTTATAATTCAATTCAATGCGATACACCACAGTCATACAATCACGATCGAATCGATTGCTTTGAAGTACTTTACAGCCTCAAACACGGCCTCGAAGTGTCGGAGACGGGTGATCGGAGCGATACAGTTCTCGCGTTCATTAACAGCATTTCGTTGCAGTTGATTCAATAGTGAATATTGGGTGGCCTTTCGTCTCTCTTAGACCGATTTTGCACTGATTCGGGGAACGTGTACGTGAATTGTGATTCTGAAAGGCAGAAGGAGTGGAACGCTGTGGTGGCGATGCACCTTGCCGAGCTGGGGTCCATCATAATCGTGGGTAAGAGAGGTGCACGTGGATGATGATGATGGAATTCCAATCCCGGTCCGATTTGGGACAGTTAGACTCATCCTGTGAGTTGATTTGAGACGCGTTTGACCTGAACAGTGTCTGTGAACGTTGAATTGCGTCCTTACTGGCTGGGACCTAGGTTTTTCTGTTCTGATTCTGCTTTTTCTGTGCTTTAGTTGACTTGCTTTGCTTCACTCTGCTTTGGATTTGTTCTGTTCTGACGCTGTGGGTTGGGCTACTGGAGCTGCGCTTGGAGAGCCAGAGTTGGACAGAGTTGGACGAGACGGGGTGTTTAGAACGTCGGGTAGACTTGGTACGTCGTATCTTATCTTCACTATATCTGCATTAACACGGGACTCTGCTGTCCTGTTAGGTTCCCTCTTTGCTTATACCGACGCCAGCTACATCTTCAAGTTGAACTTTGAACTAATAAAAAGAGTCGTATTACCGACTATTGCATCACGACATACCTATTATCTAGGGATACCTTACACTGAAATATACCTCTACCAACAAATAGCCTTGAATACCGCTTTAAAACCACAAGCAAAGGCTACAATACACGATATCTCAACATATGTCTCTCCCTCCCTCTTTTCTCCCTATCTTGTATTCGTTCTTTGTTGGCTGCTTGCTTCATCCCTACCTTTCCCAACCGGACCCACCCACTTCTCTTGCACTCGTTTGACCATGGACACAGCTGCATGAACCATCCCATCCCAGATGCTCTCTTCCTGATTCTCGCACCCACAATCATCGACCGTGTGGGGAGATAGATAGAGAAGGAGGAGAGGCGGTCTATTTCAGCCCTGCCTACCCAATTGAGTGATAGATGCATAGATGGACCGGTGTATTCATGCCGGATGGACGGTCGGACAAGTTTCCGCGCTGAATGAATTCATTTGCTCGTCCGAGTCGACGGTTTTAGATGGGGTTGGGGATGCGGTTCATTTTACGGACCGTAGTTTTGGTGTTTCTTTCTCATCTTTCTTCTACCCCTGGGTTTGGCTCTGGTTTTGGTTTTAAATCTCGTCGTGTTATTAGTTGCCCACCTAGCTCTACGAGCTTTGGAAGTTCATTGTGGGGTTGGTTGGCAGATCATATCCCGACGAGAACATTGACACGGCCTACACGTCTCCCTTTTCTATTCTTCCGTCGTGTTTTATTGAACCCTTTGACTAGCAACTATCTTTACATCCTATTCTTCACCTCGTCCTGGGCTTTCTACCTTGTTCAACTTATCCACTTGCGGCGTCACCGGGCTACACGGTCATCTCAATAACCCAACCCAACACCAACACCATCCCTTCATCCTCGCCCAACGTCAACTTCATCAACTCCAACCTAACATGTATTACTCTCTCAATATATTACGACCATTTTCTCCTACCTCCCCAACCCTTTATATATCACTGCATAAACCCAAAACGGAACCCAAATATCACAACCACTACCACGCCACTCATCTCCGTCTCGGGATAAACCAACACGAATCGGGGCTTGGTTGATTATTCAATTCCTTCCTTTCTTTACTTTACTTGACCTGTTTCCCTTTCATCTGCCACTTTATTCGTGTCTACCCTCTAGTCACGTTTTCTCTTCTTTCATTCATTCTGCTGTCAGCTGTTTGCTTATTCCTTGCGCCGTTTTTGCCCTTTCATCTAGCAACACAACTTCTTCCTCTCCCTTTTTCTCCATTCGGGTGTTGGTTGAATACCCTTGACCACCCTGCACAATTTTTTTTCAACGCATCTACCTCATCTTCATCATCACCACACCGACATCTCTTAAATTCTCTTAGATTCCATCCAACAGATACCCACCCGACAGCCCCGACACATTCTCCCATGGTCCTGACTCTGCATCAATGAGCATCAGAAGTTGAAGAGGGATGAGAAGTATGAGAAGCAGAGCAGGAGGGTCGATATCGCAGAATGCTGATATATGCGCGCTATATCTTTTTTGTCCTTTAGGCAAATGGGAACACTTTCTCTACGTCGGAAAATCGCGTTCTTTGGCTGGATCTTCCATATCGGTGAGTCCGACAGATGTGTTGTCAATCCATGCGCCTAGTTAACTAATGTATTCTCCTAGTACCCTTCCTCATCATGGGTGGTGCAACATACCTACACCACTACCTCCCAATGATCTACTTCGCCGTGCTCATGCTTAGACTCGCCCACGTCTTTGACCACTTCATTTTCTCATCTGAGTGATACACGCAGAAGACGAGGTCTATTGCATTCGGCGTTATTGCTAGAGTTATCAGCCTTGCATTCTGGTGGTTCAAGGGCATGGCGTTTGGTATTGATGGACCGGTTAATGATCATTGGGGATTAGAGTGGAGGAAGGTTCGTGCTTTTTACCCCGTTTCTTTCATCGTCGTGTGTCTGATGTTGACTTTTTTTGCCCAGACGTGGAATACCTATATTCGACATCCTTACAACCTATGTATCCGTTGATGGAGGAGTTGTGCAGGGCCTGGAAGCTTAAGGATGACGTGGATGCTTCTATTCTTTTTGTGCTTCTGTCATTTTATCTTACCTACATACCTACCCTTGTGTGGCATGCTATTGGAAGGTGGAGGTCGGATTGTGATTTTTGTTTGTATTGCTGTTGCGGTTGGGCGTCAGCCCTTGCGTGTATATCCCACTATTTTCGATCATTCGGAGCATAAGATCATTCATTCACTTGTTGTACAAAGCATGGTTTTAGACTACGGTAGGATCTTTACAACACCGCTATCCAATTCTAATCCCAACCGATGGAGAGCTGAGGCGCCGCTGTGAGTTTGACTCAGGTGCCGTGACATCAAACAAAAACTTACCGATTTCAAGCTATCTGTATAGAATCTATGCACACATTTAACAACCGTGACGCCAGCACCCACGGCCGGAGACACAGTATCCACGGCAGAAATTGCGGGTGAGGCAACCAGTGATGACAACACCGTTGGAAAGGTTGAGACGAAGACGACGGCAGGGACCAATGACACCACGGACGCAGTGGCAGCCACGGAGCTGGCAGATGTTCCTGTACCACAAGCGGCAGCAGGCCCTAAAGCAGGGAACGCACTGGCAGAAAGAGCCAGAGAAGATGTAGCGGCGGCAGCAGATGGTGAACCAGAATCGGAAGCAGGATCCCTGGGTGTTGACGTCTTTCTCTTCGAGGACCTCGAAGGTGACTTCGACGGATTCGGCACCGATGAGAGATTCAAGTTCCTTCATCTCTTCATCTGAGGCGTTGTTCATGTCGATGTCGGTGACGTTGGCATCAGTGGTGAAAGGTGCAACATCGTGGTGCTCTTCCTTCTACAGACAGTCCTAGTCAGTATCTCATATGAGCTTCACATTCGACAAACATACCAAAGCGGAGCCGAGAAGGGTGGGGGCGTCGAAGCTGAGAGACTGTATTGAGGTGCGTCAAACAACTGGACCAATGAATGAATGATTCAGAGCGAATATTTCTCACCATATTTTAAGATGTAGATAACACTGAAGCTGCTGAGACTGGGTGTTGGATTTTTATGATGCTGAATCTCGCGCTTTTATACCTGCTCAGTCTTGAAATATCTGACATCACTGATACATAACTGTCTGTTCAGAGTGGCAGTATGTATCGAGCCATCTGAGACGCGCGTTCACATGTACACCGATCAAGCAGTCGGGGCATTTTTGCTTTCGCCACACCAAGGAGTTAACGCATTATGTCCATACCCTATGTCACTCGATGTCATTATCTACCAGATATGTATCATGTCGCACCATTAAGCCTGGACCATATGTCTATTATACAGCTTGCGCCATTTGAGTGTACCTCCATGACGCTCGTAATCATTCGACGCGGCACCACGCTTGAACCAACTCAACTAATAAGAGACATACATGAATGTGAATGCTTGCAGTCATAACTATAGCACAGCGCTCGTTGCTTGATTGCTGTTTTCCTAGAGGTACGCATTGCATATCCGGGGACATTGCCTCCCTCAAGACTCTGGGGGTTCAACAAGGTTGAAGCTGTGGAGTACGGTAGTCTTTCTTTTCAGTCACTACAATCCTGTCCACCTCCTAGGCATAAGCTTGCGCAAAAAATAGCCCTCGAAGGGTCCGTTCGTCTCATGCATGGCGCGCACCATGCAGCGCTTAACCAAAGACGTTTTCCGTGTGTTGTAGCATTTCTGCAAGAGATCTTTCCAGGGATTCTGTCCTACATGATAAGACTCATCACTTCATTTACTCTTTCCGGGAATATTATTCAATGATAAGCCTCGGACATGCGTCGAGGCATGTAAGACTTGATGAACTTGTTTTGTCTCTTTGTCAAGTCTCCCCACACGGTGTTCATTTCAAGCTATGGATTCAACACCCCGCCCGAGTAGCCCGATGGAAATAACAGTTAGTTTTTTAACTATTAACACAACATAAACCTACAATACTTACAACAACCAGACGGTCTACTCTCACATCCTGAGCCTCATCAACTTGCCCTTGCTTTGGATGGGCTCACCATTACAAACAACACAAATGGCCTTTCACCGTTCCCAGACGGATCACGTCTCCAGATAATGCACTATATTTCACGAGTTCCAATTTCCCGCCGGCCAGATGCTGGCGCATTCTGTCTGCGACTAGCCATCAGAGCTTGGTCAAACCAACAGTGGGATGCCAAAATTTTCCAACCATCATAACGAGGCCACCACGCCCGTTGGTTGTTCCAACCTTTTATTGGATGATACTCATCAGGAGGCTACAGCATGTCGTGATTTCCAGGACCAACAGCCGTCTGTGTGTTTATTTACTCACGGTGTGCAAGAGAAAATGAGCCCACGGACATGAGTCACTCGTCACCAGTCTAAGCTGATCCGAATCTTGTCAAATACACTTCTGCTTTCCACCATCACCATTCTACGACCAACAAATTACACCAAACGTTTATTTCAAAAGCCACATCCCGATATCCAACTTGAGACACGCAAATGGCGACCAGCAGATTTGCTCGTCGCACATCTAAAACATGCCACCTCAGTCGAGCGCCTATCAGTGGTTTTTCAACCATCAATACAACTGGTTTTCTAGCATTTCCAGATGAGTTACTCCTGGAGGTGGTGCGCCATATCCCCCGAGTACCTGTATCATGCCATACAGCCAAGGAAACACTATCCAAAGACACTTCCCTCTTGGATAGTCAGTTCCGGCTCACAGCATTATCACAGACTTGTCAGCGCTTGCGTCAGTTGTTCTTACAGTATGTGTACCAAACGATTGAAGTCCTGGACGGGATGAAGATTGTGGATAAGAGAAGACTGCCCACTACGGAGCAACGAGCGGCCAAACGACTGGTCCAGGGTAACCCGAGCCTATACACGAAGGAACTTGTCCGCCAACTTGAAGTTGTAACCGTGCGCAACCCATCCTTGGCTCGACATGTTGTGTGAGTTATCAGTGAGTTTTCGCAGTGTGCTTCAACATGAAACTTACTCTGTAGATCAACACCTTAGCCAGCTCAATGTTGTTCTCACTATTTCAGACAACCAAACAACACTTGCCAAACGGTTTTGGAGATACCTGAGTCTTCTTCCGAACTTGAGGAGAGTTCGAATGGTCTGCCAGTATGACTGGATGTCGACGTTCGGTGTGAGAAGACAGAGATTGCCACAAGTTCAATATCTTCATCTGGATGGCAATGCTACAACATTGGCACTTTCCTGTCCAAACCTTGTGAGCATCTCAACTTCCCATGCTATCGATATAACCCAGAAAGCTGTATATTGGGGTCCTGCATATTTTTGGACAAGAATCATGCCCCAAGCAAAGAAGAGAGTAGAGGTTATTGGGGCTAACTGTGTACTTCCAAATGGTGTGTTTAGTTAGCTGTCTCTCGTCGTTTTAAGTCTAACACCTTACCAATTCCCTAAATGAATTTTTGTTCATTCCGAAGAAATCGAGGAATTCCCGAATCTTCACGATATATCATTTGAATGCCTCGCCATGCGCGACAATGTAGTAAGTCCGTTCAGGTGGTGAATAAAGGCTTTTTTGGCTGATTATCATCTGCTTGCCTTCAGAGAGGAGCTAGACCAGTCAAGAACATGCATCTAGACACAATCCGTATTCAGGCAGACCAAATAGGCATCGGTTACCTGCCTTTACTGGTGAACTGTGACCCAGTGTACACAGTCAAGCCAACGCCCGAAGAAGAAGAGGGATGGATTTTTTGGTGTGAGCAGACATTGAGGCAGGTACAGAGGATTGATCGAAAGGACAAGAAGATATATTATACGTCGAGTTCCGGGGCAAGGTCACTGTATCTTCTTGATGCCCGTAACCCCACTGAACGACGCATTATTCAGCTATAGTCCCTATTAAATAGCTCCGTTAGATCACGGTTTTTTTTACTCAGTGTCCAAAATTTAAATATTAATACATCATCAGCGAATTAGATTCAGATGGCTTCACTCTATAATGTAAAGTAGCATCCCGGTCGAGCATGGTATTGGTTGAAAGGCGGCTATAGGAGAAAGTGTCAAGGCAATATTTCAGTGTATTAAAGCCCGTGGATAAAGGTTTGGGTGCGAGATCACCATCCAGGATGAAGGATGGTACAGAGGCTGATGATGTTTCTTGGGGAATACCTTGTTCATTTCTATCTTATCCGAGGAAATTTTGGGTAAATTGGAGTCAAATTGCGCGACAAGTCATCGCAGTGCCTTCCCTGATTGGGACGAGAATCAGTGGCGGTTTTTTGTTCGTTGCTCACAAGGGGTTGACATCCTGCTTCATGACATGCTATCGATTGATCTGTTCTCGAGGATTTCGAGGCTTCGTCCTGATACGCTGCCCACCCTTCTTAAGAGCACGGAACACAGTGGAGTTTCCATTTCTGAACTATTGGGATTCGAGGGATGTTGAAACGATGCGCTTTGTGGTTTAGGTTGATAGCGTGAATATAATAATGGGAATGATGTCATTCGAACGACCCGTAGTAAATATAACGCCCAGCAACCCGATGCTCTTCTCCCTTCGATGACAAAGAGAGTGAATGAGCTGGCAGATAATACAGATACCAGACTACTTAAGAGTAGGTACGTGTAGGCATGTGGCTGGGGTGGTGAACCACAGCATTCACCTTGTCGCACTCGTAAGTGGGGCCACTTAACGAAGATCGGATATGGTGTAACGGCTAACATTGCCGCCTCTCATGGTAACGAAGCAACGCTCCTATATATATGTGATCGCGGCAGCTCGGGGTTCGATTCCCCGTATCCGAATGCAAATCGTGCTCGATATTTTTTTCGTTTTCGTTTTATTTATTTTTCTGGTAGTATTTGCACATATCTACAGAGTTGCAATTATTGTTTTCTGATTTATGATAGTGGCTATTTGCATGAGCGATTACTTATATACTAATTAGGTCGCGCGTAGCATGTATGTTTGTTTAGCATATGGTTTTGAGCCTGGGTGTTGAGAGGTGAGCACCTACTTTCATCTGACGAGGCTATGCATGTGCGTAACTTGAAGTGTTAGGAGTGTCCGTTTATTCGATCGAGCACAATCGTATCAATAAACTTTCATTAGACTTGTGGTTTATGATTCAACCCAATACGCCACAGTCATATAACCTCCATCAAATAGACTACTTTGAAGTAATTACAGCCTCGAACACGGCTCGAAGCATCGGAGATGGGTGATCGGAAGCGATGAAGTTTACGCGTTCATTGACAGAATTTCGTTGCAGTTGATTGAATTGGTGGATATTGGGTGGCCTTTCATGATTATTGCGAACGGGAATGTGCACCAATATTATGAAAGGCGAAGCGGCAGAAGCAGAAGCAGTGGAAGGCTGTGGTGGCGATGCACCCAGCCGAGGTTCATCATAGTCGTGGGTACAAGAGGGTGCACGTGGATGACGATGATGGTGAAATCCCATTTGGGAGAATCGTGGCTTGACTTGATTGAAACGGTACTGGAGGGACAGGTCTTGCTGGTTTTTGACTCTTAAGCGAGCTGGGTACTGACAGACAATGCTGCTGCTTTTGTTTTACTGTGCTTTGGTTGACTTGCTTTGCTTTGCTCTGGAATTGCTCTGTTCTGTTCTTCGATGTTGGTCTGGATTGGGCTGCTGGAGCTGCTCAGAAGTCGGGCCCTACAGTCTAGAAAGTTGCGGGTGAGGCGAGACGGGGTTGGAATTAGACATTGGGTAGACTTAGTGCGTTGGTGTCTCCTCTTCATTATAACTATATTGACTCGGAGCTCTGTTGACCTCGTTAGATGTATTCATGACTGTTACAGACGTCCACGACAACCTCCAACTTCAACTACGACTAAAACGACTAGTCGATAAACTGACTATTGCGGTACAACATACCCAGAGATGCCCAATAAAAAAATATACCCTCAACAACTACAACTAAAGGCTCTATTATACGATTACTGAACCAAAATTGATTTCAACTGCGGTACAATACCCGTACGTCTTTCTCTCTCCTTTATCTTCCCTTCCTTTTCTCTGTTTTGTTTGCTCGTCCTTCGTTGGGCTCTTTGCTTCACCCCACCCACTCCGATCTTCCGCATTCATTTCAAGAGGGACCACATGAACCATCCTTCCCATCCCATCCCGCATGCCCTCCTTCTCCGGTTCTTGCACCCACAATCAAAGGCCGTGTGGGGAGATAGTAGAGAAGGAGGAAAAGCGGTTTATTTCAGTCTTTCTGAATGATAAATGGATTGGTTTACGCCGGATGCACGGGGAGGTTATCCCGATACCGCTAAATGAATTCGTTCACTCTCCGGGGGCTTTAGACGGAATGTGGCCGTGGTTTGTTGTGTCGTGGTTTTGGTGTTTGATTCTTGTCTTTGCTTCTTATGCCTCTGGTTTTGGTTGTGATTCTCGTGGTGTTACGCTGCTCACCGAGCTCTACAAGCCTCGGAAGTTCACTGTGGGTTGGTTGGAAAATCCTATCCCGACAGGAGTATTAGCACACCGTTCACTTCTTCCTTTTTCTCTTTCGTTCCTTCTTCGGCGTATTATTTAAACTTAATTTTTGGCTAACAAATATCTTTCCATCTCGTTCTACATTGCATCCTGGACCATCTAAACTCCACATACAACTTGCTGCGTCACGACGCGGTCATCTCAACAACTCAACTCAACACGACTCAACATCAACATCATCCTCTCATCCTCACCTAACTTCAACTTCAACTGTATATTTACGCACACATACTCATTCTCAATACATCACGACCTTTTCCACATACCTAACCCTACACATACGACTGCACAATCCCAAAAACGACCCCGAAAATCACAACCAACACCACGCCACGCATCACCGTCTCGGGATCTGAATCAACCAACACAACTCTGGTCTTTGTTGGTTATTACCCTTTCTTTTTCCCTTTTATCTACCACTTCACACCTGGGCTGGCTGTTTAACCACGTTTTCGTTTTCGTCAGTAGTATGAGAAGCGGAGCGGGAAGCTCGATATCACAGGATGCTGATATATGCGCGCTATATCTTCCTCTTTTTGTCCTTTAGGTGAATGGGAACACTTTCTCTACGTCGGAAAATCGCGTTCTTTGGCTGGATCTTCCATATCGGTGAGTCCGACAGCTGCGTTGTCAACCCATGCGCCAGTTAACCGATGTATTCTCCTAGTACCTTTCCTCATCATGGGCCTCAGTTTCTCATCTAAGCGATACGCGCAAAAGACGAAGTCTATTGCATTTGGCGTTCTTGCTGGAGTTATCGCCCTTGCATTCTGGGGGTCAAGGGCATCGCGTTTGGTATTAATGGACCAGTTAATGATCATTGGGGATTGGAGTGGAGGGAGGTTCGTACTTCCACCCCGTTTCTTTCATTATTGTGTTTCCTGATGTCGACTTTTTTGCCCAGACGTGGAATATCTATAATCACTAATACCAGATATATTCAACGTCCTTACAACCTATGTATCCGAGGATGGAGGAGTTGTGGAGGGCCTGGAAGCTGGAAGCTGAAGGATGACGTGTACTTGATTAGGGAGGGTTGAATCGGATTTCGGATTGAGCCCTTATTTGGACGCTTCTATTTTTATTTTTCGTCGAAAGTCCTGTTTGTACTTCTGTCATTCTATCTTACCTACCTACCTATCCTTGAGTGGCATGCTATTGGAAGATGGAAACCGGATTGTGATTTTCATTCGCATTGCTGTTGCGATTGGGCATCAGCCTCATGCTTTGCATGTATATCTCACTATTTTCGATGATTCGGGGCGTAAGGTCATTCATTCACTTGTTGTACAAAGCATCGGTTTAGACTACAGTAGGATCTTTACAACACCGCCATCCAGTTCTAATCCCAACTGATCTAGACCTGAAGCGCCGGTTTAAGTTTAATTCGAATTGCTGTGATGACATTGAACAAGAACCCACCGATTTCAAGGCATGTGCATACGATGCGCGCACGCATCTAGCACCCGTGACGCCAGCATCCACGGCCAGAGACACAGTATCCACGGCAGAAGTTGCGAGTGAGGCAACCAGTGATCACAACACCGTTGGAAAGGTTGAGACGGAGACGACGGCAGGGACCAATAACACCACGTACACAGTGGCACCCACGGAGCTGGCAGATGCTCCTGTACCACAAGCGGCAGCATGCCCTGAAGCAGGGAACGCACTGGCAGAACGAGCCAGAGAAGATGTAACGGCGGCAGCAGATGGTGAACCAGAAGCGGAAGCAGGATCCTTGGGTGTTGACGTCTTTCTCTTCGAGGACCTCGAAGGTGACTTCGACGGACTCGGCACCGATGAGGGATTCGAGCTCCTTCATTTCTTCATCGGAGGCGTTGTTCATGTCGATGTCGGTGACATTGGCATCGGTGGTGAATGGGGCGACCTCATGGTGCTCCTCCTTCTACAACTGTGATGAGCATCATATATTTCATGGGTCAAGTGTACTTACCAAGGCGGAACCGAGGGTGGTAGGGGCGTCGAAGCTGAGAGACTACATATCGAGGTGCGTCAATTAACTGGATTCAGTCATTGCAAAAGTGACTATTCCTCACCATTTTTTACGATGTAGATTAACACTGAAGCTGTTGAGACTGCGGGTGTTGGATTTTGACTGCAGTAAGTCTCTCGACTTTATAGCTACTCAACCCCGCAGTTTTTGACATTACTGGTTCTAATACGGCTGCTGACTTCGACGCTAAGCATTGACATAGAGCCATTCGAGACGCGCGTTGAGGCCAATCAAGCAATCACGGTATTTGGCCTTCGCCACACCAAGGAGCTGACATGATATGTCCATCCGGTACGTCACTCGCTGTCATTCTGTTGGACGCACATCATGCAGCGTTATCGGTCATTGGAGTCCCTCCCACTGGCCTTCATAATCACCCTAAGCATTAGCCGCCACGCTGGAGAGCTTTCTGTCATAGGGACCAAAAACGACCTAAACCAAACTGAGTGACTCAGAGAGAGCATACCGAGTCCCTAGCGCTGAAAGGTTAATCCCTCGGTTTCATGCAAAGCACTTTGAACACGCCAGAGCTTACTACAATTTCCGAAGTTCTTGGTCGACCAACTCCTTCCATTTCACCCACAGCATGTACAAGTAGGTGAGTGGCGCTCGGCGTGGAAACAAGTCACAAAAGCCATTCTATTGTTGGCGGGTCCGAAATGTCTCAACTTAGAATAGACTTTGTTGAAGTTGTGGAATATTACACTCCTGCTTTCTACCACCACCATCCTACCTGATTTCATCGGACTGGTACTCAATTTCGAAAGTGACATCTCCATTTTCAACTTGATTGGCGTGCAAATGTCGACTAGAAGCTCTGTTCGGCGTCGCGCAGACAAAACACGCCGTCCGAGTCAGGCGACTACCAAACGTGGATTTCTAAACGTCAACAGAACAGGTATCCTGGCATTTCCAGATGAATTACTCCTGGAGATGATACGCCACATCCCACGAGTACCTGTATCGTGCCACACAGCTGAGGAAATACTATCCCAAGACACGACCGCTTTGGACAGCCACTTCACCCTCACTGCCCTATCGCAGACCTGTCAGCGCTTGCGCCATTTCTTCTTGCCATATGTTTACCGAATCATCGAGGTCCTGGACAGAATGAAAATTGTGGGTGGGAGAAGACTATCGACCCCAGAGAGACGAGCAAAACAAAGGCTGGTCCAAGCCAACTTGGGTCTGTACACGAAAGAACTCGTTCGCCAGCTCGAGGTTGTAACGGTGCGCAATCCGTCCTTGGCTCAATATGTCGG